AAAGGCGAATATTGTATGAGTCCATTGAAATGAAATCTCTAGAATAGGTAATTTTATAGAGATGGAAAGTAGATTAGAGATGACTGGAGGCTAGGGGTGGTTCAGGATGGGGAGTTACTGCTTAATGGTCATAGTGTTTTGGGGAAGTGATGAAAAAGTTTGGGAAATAGTGGTAGGGTACCCAATATTGTGAATATACTTAATGCCACTTAATTGTATACTTTCAACTATTAAAATTTGTGTTGTATTTGTTTTACTGCAATGAAAAAACAAAGGATCACGGCTATGAGCATTTTTGAAACCATACCTCTCCAGACCATTTGTGGGATGGACACAAATTCTTTAATGCGCATTTTAAAAAGTCATTGCAGGGAAGATATAAACAACAGGCAGAGACAAATGCACGATGTAGGGTCATCTAAATAAAATTGACACTTCTTTATGATTAATCCAAAATTTCTCAGCAAAGTAAACATCTGAGAGCTGGTACTGGGGAAACATCAGTTTCATAAATGACTTAATTTTTCAGGAAAGGGTGTAAAATAACCATTAAACCCATAAAAGTTAATATACAGCACCCAAGAAAGGGGGGGGGGAGAGTTGCTTTTGCTGTTGTTTATTACTCAATGAACAGTTCTCTGTTCTCCTGAAAAAACAAAACAAAGCACCCTTAAGAAAAAATTTCAAAAATGTCAAGAAGATATATCCAAAATGGAAATAAAGTTGAAAAGATAAATAAAATAAGCATTCCTTTGCTATATTTGGTGGAGTCCTGCAGAGAAAAAAATTCCAGCCAGGCAGCATTGAGACATAGTTTATTAATGCAGTTTCCCCCACAGCAGGACACAGAAAGAGAAACTGGTAAAACAGTCACATTAAAAAATTATGACTCTTCCATCTGATCTTTATGAATACACAGAAAAGAAACTGTACTCTTGAGCCGTCCTTGGGCCCTAGTGAGGCAGAGAGGCAGACTTATTATTATATTTTTTACTCCAAAATCGTATTTGCTCACACACGGTTAGAACAACTGAAAGTTACTTCCCGCGTTGTAGGGATTTTTAAAGTATTCATAGAAAGACCCCTTGAAAAATTTTTAGGCAGTTCTCCCAATCACATTTTGAACAAAGCACTTTAGTCTTTTGTTTTTAAGAGCCTACAAAATTGAAGCCTGTTTGCATTCCTTTTGGGGAAAAATTTAGAGGGTGGTAAACTGGTTATAAATGGAATTTCCTAGAATCTGAGAGCTGGAAGGAAGCCCACCGATGACCTGAGCTGGTGCTTTGCTTAGTGTAGGCTGTGCCCCCCTGATGAATTATGTAATCAGTTTAGGGTCACAATTAGCATTCGGATGTAAAGGAGGAGGTAGAATAGAGTACAATGGCATTTCAAATAGCATATTGTACATGCTGTTTTCTGAAACTGTTATTTCAGTTGTGCACGTGTGCGCCCTGGGTCACAGTGCAGAGCAAGTGTCAGACTATAAAATCTGCTCAAAAATCAGAGAATTACCCATCTAATCAAACATCTTCCTTTTCTAACAGGACAGCTGGAGTCAGAGAGGGGAAATGAATGACTTTCTCAAGTCACACAGTGAGTCAGAAGCAGCCGGGTCTCCTCACTCCCAGCGTCCTCTCTGTCAGACTCCACTCATCGCCTTACATCACTGCCCCTTGTGCTTCTGTACCATCTGGCAGCTGACATTCTGCTTCCTTCTGGATCATTTCTCATGCTTTGGGATCATCTGGATTCCCTTTTCTCCCATACCATCCCTACCATTCTTCTACGTTTTGGAATCAGGGCAGGTGTGCAGAGAGACAAATACCCAGGGGTGGATGATCCATGACTCATGGATAACTCATGAGAGCCCAGGAGGTAGCAAAATTCCACAGCTCACTGCTCCCTGAAGCTGATGAGCCACGAAGGGTAGAATTACAGCCTCCCTGTGGAAGAGGGAGGAACACATGACAACTTCCAGAGACGGCATTTTCAGAAACAAGACAACCAGCTGACAACTGTGGGCTCTGGGTAATTCCTGCCAGGCTCATATACTCTGTCTGGTTTCTAGTTGGTCTTCCTGAGCCAAAGCAGAAGCATGTAGAAAGTGTTCTGTAACTGCAGTGATAGAGTTGGATTATGAAAGAAGATCTTGCCTGGGATTCAAGGTGCCTCTGGCTCTGACCTAGAGGAGAAACAATTTACCCCATCCATAAGCACACACGTTTATATCGCATTTACTATGTGCCAGGCAGTCTTCTGAGAATATAATAAATATTTACTAATTTAATCCACATAATCAATCTATAGACTGTAGAGGACTCTCCTAGCTGCAGTTGTAGTCAGAAGGTTGAGATGTGTTGAAATTTGTTTTTCTTTCTGGTTTGAAGACAGAAGGGTGAATATGCCTAATAGAATTTAAAACTATGTCATTGACAGAGGGAATTAATCAACAGTCAAATCCAGGGAGAAAAGGTCAACTGCCTACTTTCTCTTGGCAGAAGGAATGGGAAAGAGGACTGTTCCTGCAAAGATTCATCACTTTTTGATGCTTTCCAGAAGTGGTGATGGATTTGCAATGAGCCATTTAGTTTTTTTTCTTTTTTTTAATCTCCCACATATATTTGTAGTATTAGCCATCTTGGTGCATGGGGTCTGCTCGGGTCCTGAAATCAAGCATGAAAATCCATGGAGAGATCAAACCTGTGCCCTTGGCTTGATGAGCCAGTCCCTTCCATACTGCTGGAAGAGAATCCTCAATAAATAATTTTGATACTGTATTACTATACATTAAAAACTGCCTGACTCTGGAAACAGCTAGATTTGACGTCGATAAAGAACATTAGTAGTTTACTGAAGTATAAGAAAGGAAAGAGGAACATGAAGTGAGTTTGGGGATTTTTTTTTGATGGAACTATCATGTGCCTGTATGTTTTACATGTTAACATTTAAATCCCATAATACTCTGATCAAATCTCTATTTCACAGATGAGGGAACTAAGTTAAATGCCTTGCTGATGGTAAATAGGTAAGGGACAGACTTCAGAATATAAGTCTGCCTCCAGCACCCATTACTCATTCCAAATCATGCTGTAGCCTGAAAATCACTTTTTTTTTCATTTGAGAAATGATTTGTCCCCAGCAGCATTCACTGACCATGGCAAAACTTTAATTGATCTTTCTCTGCCACAGCCTACTGACTATCCACAAGGAATAGCAACAGTTAAAAACGCTTCTCTGTAATTAAGTCTTGGTCCCCTTAACAACTCCACCATGTAATTAAACTTATTTCTCCAACAGGCAGATGTGGTTCACTAAAGAATCTGAGAAGAGCCATTTAAATTATGCTCTGTTTCTCACTCTTGGTTAGCCAGTCAAGTCTGGGCTTGGAATGGGAGACTAGGAGGAATGCCGAGAATGCTGCCATCGCAGATCCCCACAGTGCTGAAGCTCTAGCAGACTCAAGGTGTATTTCCTGTGCAATCTGTGAAACTTCTAATTTATTTCTACTCATTGTTTCGCTAGATGCACACTGGACTTGTTGAGCAAGAGTGAAGGTTGCTGAATAGTTTTCCTTTTCTAGGAGCAGCCTGCATTAACTGAAGGAGAAAACTGTAGTTACTAATCATCAGAAATGGAAAAAAAATTGAAAGATGTAATTATCACAGGTCTTGAAACAAGATATATCTGTCCCTATGGTACATTTCTGTGACTAAGTGAAAAACAATTTGGCTTACACCACAAATAGTTTCTGGGCTGTATTTTTTCCCAGGTAAGATTTGACTTAGCATAAGGCACTGATACCGTGATACCGTAGTTAAATTACACACTACATCGCAATTCAGAGTGAGAAGGGGAACCCACCGACATCTAGTATTTTCATGAGTCTTTAAAACTCTAGGTTTACAAATGCAAGTCAAATAAAAAACTTACAAGTTGTACCAAAAATCACTTTGAGTTAAAGGTCATTAATAATAAAAAGAAGGTAAAAGCAAAATCACTTGGGCTCAGATACCAAATAAGATGCCAACACAGAAGATCAATGGGGCTATAAAATGAAATCCAAAAAATATTTTCTCAGTTTGCAGTCCCCCAAGAAGTAAGGATTCAAATGTCATGTAAAAAGTACCGCATAGTTTCTTGGCCTTAAAAGCGCTGCTCTGAGAGGATCATGCAGTTAGTATCCGGGGAAAAAAAAAAAAAAAAAAAAAGTACAACTTCTTCAGAGGACTGGATGAGTTCAGATGTTGGAGATTATGATCTCCTGAACCCGATGGAATTTATGCCAGGAGAATAAAGAGAAAAATTAATTTATGGCTTTCTCTACCTGTGTGCAATGCATTCAGCTTAATCTTTAGAGTCATGCATGGGAATTGCGAGGCTGAAAGTAATGCGCAGCACGTGATCACTGGAGTTAAGTCTAAAAGGGGGCAATTTGTCTTATTCTATCCCACACATCTGGTTCTATCATATTTGCCAAATGGTTAATGCAGGAATACATGATGGTGAAATTTTTTTCCATCAATTTTATTTGCCGGGAAATAGAACACTTTCCTTCCCCCTCCCCCTGCATTCTAAATTGACCTCAATTTTCCAGCCCTAGGGTTTATCTGAGTATGACCTGGAAGACAGCTCTCCTCTTTGTTCAATTCTGCAAGTTCCATAGTCACCGTTGGGATGGAGCTGCAGCCTTTGTTTCAAAGCAGAGCCAAGCCAGGTGTGGTAGAGGCATACACCTATAATCCCAGCGCTCTGGGAGGCTGAGGCAGGAGGATAGCAAGTTTATGCCCAGTTGCCACAATTTAGCAAGACCCTGTATCTAAATACTTAAGTAAATCAATGGCTGGGGAGGTAGCTCAGTGTAAAGTCCCCTAGATTCAACCCCTAGTACTGGGGTGGGCAGCCACATTTACATGGGAGAAAAATCTAAAGCTTATTCTGCAAACAGATGAGGCATCAGTTACCTAACAGATAAAACCACAAGTTAAATTCTAAATTTTAAACTCCCTTTTATTGAAATATAAGTTTGTTTAGTATATTTACACCACCCTTTATGCACATATATACATAGAAGGCAAATTCTGTCAAATAAAAAAAGTTTTTCTTAATAAAAAATTAAAATAACAACGTAAAGTGCACAGAACTGATTTTTTTCCTTCTAGTGAACATTATCATTGTCGAAATTTTGGTCAGTCGGGAGGGGGAAGAAGCAATTCATTATTTGACTCAGTGCTTAAGGCCAGTCCTGAATTCATAGCCTTCAGGCCCAAATGAGGAGAGCTGGTTTGAGTCAGACAAACTGTAGGGCTCCCGGGGGTGCGGAGGTCTTGCTCTCTTTGTACTAAGGGGCCGTCCCCCAGCTCTGAACAGTGATCTCACCATCACGGCTCTGGAACAAAGGGAGAAGACAGGAAGGGGGCTCCACCAGCCAATGTAACAGCCCCACTCCTGGGCCACCAGCGCGGCTGCGTTTTGTAGGAAACTGCAGAATTAGCTCAACGGCTCAAACGGAAGTTTTCCTTTTTTGGAATGGGAGTGGGAGGAGGTGTCCTAAGAAGGGAGTGCATCTTTCACTGGGACCATCCCGGCTGGGGGCAAAGCCAAGCAGCCAGTTTCTTCGGATCCCATCTCCTGGCCGGCACCGGAAATAATCCTTTTATAAACTGGGTGGAGGGAATGTTAATACTTCTCGCCTCGGTGAGTTTGCCCTCCCAGACTTTGAAAGGAAACAGCGTGGGATTAAAAGAAAAGGGCAGGTGGGTGAAGCAGAAGTTTTAGACACTTCTGCGCCCGGAGCCACTTGGCTGGGCGTTGGCCAACTGGTCCCAGTCACTGGCACAGGTGACAGCTTTTCCCCGTCCAAATCTCCCCCTCCTCCCAGGATACTGTTAGGACCCCGGCCGACGGCCGTATTTAGCCTTGCAGTGCAAAATGTGCTTGGCGAGGAAGTCGAGGCGGCGCTGCAGCAGCTGAGAGTGAGGGTCGGCGAGAGCGGCCAGCTCGGGGAAGCGAGGTTCGTGGCGCCGGTAGAGGCGCCGCAGCCGGGCCATGACGCGCGGGTCCCACTGCAGGCTGAAGAGGTTGCTCACGAGCCGGTCGAAGTTCGCTGTCAGGTAGTCAAAGAGGATCAGGTCGGTCCACTGCACCAGGTCCACCAGCTCCGCCTGGCTGAGGTTGGCCAGCTCGCCCCCGGCGTCGCGTAGGGGTCGCAGG